GTTTATTTTTTTAAATCTCTAAGTGTTTTCTCCCCCAACTTATGAAAAATCTGTAGGGCTTTATAGTCCCTTTGTTTATTTAGAAACCTTGGACAGACTAATAATAAATAGCCCCATAAGAAACAAGCAGGTATCTTTTAATGCTAATGAGACTTTCCTTTTTCTGCAACAGCCCATCTCAACAGATTTTTGTGTAAAAATGAGAAAAGAGCATTCGATGGTTTATTGCAGGGTTTTTACAGGGCTTTGGTTTCAATGAGCTCGTCTGTGACAAAGCAAATTTATGGCAGTGGTAGCCTAGTGATGTCATTGTGATGTCAGTGCTGCCACTTGTAACTGCACACGCTGCTGGTCAGAACACTTTGTGTTGACCTGTGAAAGGAAGAACGGGGCAGTTCTGTATGCAGACGCCCGTCATGGCTGTAACTGGAGATGAAACAGGTAAGAACTTCAGAGAAAGATTTAATTCTGCAAAATTATTTTTGAAGTTTTGAAAACTTATTTAGGGACCTCTGAGTGTATCAAAGATACTACTTTTCTAGTAGCTGAGGAGTTTTATATCCATTCCACACACTTACAGGGGTGTCCAACCCGCGGCGCAGGATTGCTACGAATGCAGCCCAACACAAAATAATAAATTTACATGTTTGTGTATTTAATGTGTCGCCCACGACAACTTGTCTTCTTTCATTGTGGTCCAGAGAGGCCAAAAGGTCATGTTAAAGGCCGCCCTGCAAAGCATGTTAATGGAATTGGTTCTTTGCTCAACGCTACATCGCTTACTTGATCAAGACAGTTTCTCTCTCCCTAAAGCCCCCCAGCTAAAATAAGCTGTTGCTTCATCTGCAACCTGTTGCATATACAGTGCAGCCACAAATTAAACATACTGTGCAAGTTGTAAAAAAAATTAACCTTCTGATTTCATTGCTATGGACAAATGTAGCTCCAAAGCAGACCAGAGTGTTAGGATGTTTGTGTGCTTCCTCTTTTCTTTGCTCGAGCGTCTAAAACGGCCTGTTCCTCCCTAACGGAGTTCAAAGGGCTGACGTCATTGCATTTCCTGGAATCGTGGTTCCTTGGGAGAGTGGAAAAGTTAAACTCCAAGCGGGCTGCACATTGACGTCAGCCCGGAGGCCAGGCTGTGACTGAGCCAGTTCCTTTCCGCTCTGTCCAGCGCTGCTGACAGCTTGAGGTTGTTAACCAGCTCCCCACTCGCCTGTCTCCACGATAGCTCCTGGACCGAGTAGCTTGACTTCTAAGCCTCACTTTAGCCTTTCTCTGCAGGTAGGTATCTGCTGTAGGCAGCCAGCACCGCCCCCATGTATGAGCAGATCCCAGGAGCTCTGCTCCACTCCAAGGACCGCGCACGTGCGTGGGCTCCGTCCGGGTCAGGGGCCCTCACCCCATCGCTCTATGGGATCTGCCGCTCACGGCGCCGGCGCACAGTCAGGGAAGCGCATGTCCGAGAATCCTTAACTCTTTCCGTGGTTTGGTTTCCTTAGATATAGGTAATGCTTCTGACTTAGTCACTAATGTTCATTATGTTGTCGCAACTATGTTTATTGAGTGGTGTCTTATTTCTAACTAAGTACTGGTTTGCATTTGAATTCATGAAGAATAGGTTATTGTAAACACCTTGCTCACGATTTACCTTCAGAGTTAGTGGGTCTCAGTTCCTCCTCCTAAATAGAACATTCCATTGTCCTGAGCAAATAGCACTTGTATAAAATTGTTTTAAAAATTACCTTGAGCTATTGTTGTTTCTCAACACTTCTGTGACGTTTTAGAGATGCTATAGATTACAGAAGCTCTCAAAATGGCAAATTTATTGTAAGATATAGATGAACTTAAATAATCTTAAATACTGCATGTCATGTGATTCTTAGAACTAAAAAGCGCTTTTATGTATATATTTATTTTCTAACAATTATTAGTTGGTTTACAAATTTGAATTCACCATTTGGCTTCTGTAAGCATGAGAGAGGATCATAACAAAAAAGAAAATAAATGATTTGAAAATATTCAATACATTTAAAGATGAACATTTAAGGTAAAAATTTACATAAATTTTTTACCATTGTTTATGAATAAATGAACATTTACAGAATGAATATAACATCTTTGAAGAGATATTTTCACAGTTTTACCCATAATGCTTATACATGATTTATCCTTTCCAATTCAAAATTTTCTAAATGATGAAAATCTAAAATGTCAGAGTTTTTCACTCCCTCAATGTACCTTTGGAAATCATTGTTTTTTGAAATCTGGTCAGTCCTCACAGAATCAATTGTATTTGAGATGCTATTTGAAAATGGAAAAGACATTTCTCTCTCTCTTTATGTCTCTCTCTCTGTCTTTGAGATTAATTGATACAGACTCTTGGCTTACCAACTTTTTGACTGTGTCCTACACCTTCATCACAGTAGTCTTGTGTGTGCCTTAGGTTTATATAAAATACACTTCAAAAGTAATGCTTAGTCTTAGTGTATGTAATATGGTCATACTTTTCTATTTCATTTTATAAAATGCTGTTCTTGACCCATGAAATTGATTTTATGACTCACCAATGATCTACAACTTACAGTTTGGAAAACTGATCTAGATCAGAATCAGCCTTCTGACAATAATGATGGGTCTGGAAGAGTTTTTAGAAGCATTTACATACAGGACCAGGGAATCGAATGTGCAAAGGGAATATTTATAGTTTACAGAATTATATTATTCTGTTGGATGTAACTTAAATTTTTATTAAAAATAGTTTTGGCTTTATAAGCTGATTGTTAAGAGTCTAACTCTTTATCTTTTAGTCTCTGGGTCTAAAAATCTCTAATGAATTGTATTCAGCCTGGACTCTGAATTATTAAAAACAAACCTTCCAACTTACTCAAACGTAAAAAATAGTATCTTAATTAATATTCAATATAAGAGAATAAGGATACATTTTACCTTTGTGAAAGGAAAGGTTTTTTGGAAATTTTCACATAAAAGAACGTTTCATATCAGGTATAATAGCTCCTTGAAGTTGGTAGGAAAGCAAGTTATAATCATATTGGAAGTGAAAATATAGAGGAGTCACTTACCCACCTTAAGTTTCAATAAAACTCCAAATATGTATGAAATTGCCATTATACTATTTTCCCACTATTTTTGAAAAATTTTTAATGAAAGATAACTTAGGATAATTGTTTCACTTTGCCCAGCTTTATTTGCCTATATAAATATACTGACTAGTAAAATAATACTTTGCATTTATGTAAACTTTAAAATAAAAAATTACTTAAGGTCACAAATAAAATATAAATATAAATGTGATAAGTATTATCAAAGAAACTATCAGATTGTGAGAGACTTTAAAATTTAAAAAATCACTTAACGTTACAAACAAAAATAAATATAAATTTGGTAAGTGCTATCAAACTGTCAGGTCGTGAGAGACCCGCAACAAGTATAGGTTGAAGGATCAGAGTAGGCCTCGCTGAGGAAGCCATATTTAATACGTACAAGGAAAAGCACGTTTACGCATACCCCCCATTTACTCAGGGCAGATATGATTACGTTCATTTTGCATATACTTAATCACACAGATCAGAGTGGGTATATGACTGTTACAAGCTTATAAAGCTAGCAAGTGGTGAACCAGTTTGACTCTTCAGAGTCCTTATTTGGCTCTGTTCACACCATATTATGCTGCTCCTCAGAATTCACCTGACATTGATAAACTAATGCTAATGTTAGGTGAGTTACAATAGCATGCTACACACTGCCTAGAAAACAAAATAAAGGTAGCATCGTTTTCAGTAGTCAAAATAGATTTTTTTTCCTAGAGTATTTTTACTCTCATAGCACAACAGAGCATATGTTTGTTATTACATAGAACTAGAAATATCAATATAATTTCTCATTTTCTACAAACTTTTTTTTACTCTTAAGTTCTTCACTGAATGCATAACTCATGTGTAACTTAAAGTAAAAACTATTTAATGACTTAATTCTGTATGGTCTATGTGTTGCGACATATTTGAATGTTCAGTGCTTAAATAGTCCTGTTTATGTGGGATTTAATTTTCCGGGGAAGCCTGGAGCAATGGAGGAGGGAACCTTCTGGACAGAGTGAGGCACCAGGCAAGGACAAGCCCTTTTGGGCTTTCGGCGTTAGGAGCACTGGTGTGGTCCTAGGGAAGGAGAGAACCAAACCAGAAAGGCGAAGATGTCAGTAGCTTTCTGGAGCTCCCTGCTTCTCAGTATGACTTCTAAGTTAGCTCTATTGCTTATTACTTAGGTGTGTTTGTGATTAGTGACATATCGTAAAAAGACATTATGAAAATGGTTTTGTTCAGTTAATGTGCTCAGTACTATAGTGATATCAATCAATCAGTCAATCAGTAGGCAAATATAGTCACCATTGTGGGGTGTTGATAAACTTTCACTTTGGAAGCTATCAAGGTGGGCATTGGGCTGGGTTTCTCATTTCTTTCTCTGTTAGGAAGAAACAAGCACCTCTTTGGCTTGTGGATTTTTTCAATTTTCTTACTACCACTCTGATGAGTGTGTATCATTTTTTTTTTGATTCTTCACCTTCACAGTTATATATTTTAAATGCTTACATATATTTAAATGGATATTTTGTAATACTATCTTTTAATAATTTATTGTCTAAAGGGATATAATAAAATACAGTATAAATTTTAAAAGTTTTTAATAGGCTTTTTTTTTTAACAAAATAAAGAATGAGAGCCATACATTTAAATCATTCCATTACCCAGGTTTGTTAGAAGGAAAACTCCAGGAAAATAATTTATGGATTTTATTTTCCTTTTAATTAATATGCAGTATAAGCATAATTTGGAACATCATCTTTCAGAGCTTAAGGGAGGGAAGAGGAAGGGAACTAACATTTGCTGAATGCCTACCATGCGCCAGGCACTGTGCTAGACACTGACATACATTGCAGGGTTTACTGTGAGTATTAAATGAGATAATGTATCCTCATTTTGCAGATGAGGAAACAGAACTTGCCCCAAGTCACATGACTGGTAAGTGGCAGAGCTGCACTAGAACCCAGACTCCAAATACCATGCTTTTTCTTCTGTACCGTGTTTAAAGCTTGCAGAGAGGTATGAGGTTCATGACCAGAATTTGAGAGTTCTAGGCATTTTTTTTTTCTCATGAAATGTTTGCTACCGAACCTAAAACATTTTTTCATGGCAGGATTTAGATGGTTAGACACACTATACAGTATTTAGAACTCATTTACTTCTAAAATGCTAAGTTAGATGACTAGAATCTAAGGGAAGACTTAGGAAATAATGCCTTATATCCAGAAAGGCCAGTTTGAATAAATACATAACATCTTTTAGGACTTTCCATGTCTTAGTGTTGATGACCTAGATATGATAATGGCTAATAATAGTCTTATAATAATAACAAGACTGCTTATTTGAAACATTCCAGCTAAGAAGGGGCTTGTACAAAACCCTGGGAAGTTCAGCGCTTCCTTCCTAGTGCACAAGTAATGTTATATGCCAAGTGTTGCTGGGTTCTAAGGAACTACGTACAAGGCACAAAAGATACCTCGGCTTCTCTAAAGCTTTTGCTGCCTCAGAATGAAATTAAATTAATGTATCTTTTTTATTATCTTTCTTGGATCATAAGTTTAAATTCCCCACTGGTGACCCATTTATTTTTAGAAATAATTCATACAGTGAAATATTAGAATAAAAAATAATGTTGGCACATTAGTAGCTAGATGGAGCAGGAATTGGCCTTTATTAGCCTACAGGGGTAAGAACGTGACATCCAAGAATGCAGGATGCTCTTTGAACTGTGATGCTGGGTATCTCATCTGCGCTAAATTACCACTGAATTTTTGTATATGAACTTTTTATCACTTGCTTCAGTAACAAAACTTCTTGACACTTGGATTTCCTTAAAACAAGACCTTCTCTTTGCCCATACCTTTTTAATGTATTTAGTAATAAGATCATTTGAATATATGGAATTCATCCATTGATATTTATTCAGTGACCCTTAGAAGTGTACCATCATCAGAGAGTTAAACTAACTCCTGCTCACTTATACTAATTCATGTTTATGGCTTGAACCAGTGAGTTGCAATTCAATTTTTGTTGAAAGAGATAAAATGAATGTATAGTATATCTGAAATATTGTAATAAAACCCAGTTTGTAAGCTAACATTCAAGGATTAATACATCCACATATATAATCCTTTCGGTTTACCATTTTAGGGTATATTTTCTAAGCCGTTGTTCAAAATGTTTTAAGAATGCTTCTTTTGGAATTGCCATTATCCTTCACAGTGCCACATTCAGCCTTTTGAAGCTGGCTTCAGTTTTGGAAACAGGCAAAAATTTAGAACCATTTCTGAGTCCAAGACCAATGAATGAACTTCCATTAAAAAGAATTTATTTACTTATTTTTAGAGAGAGGGGAAGAGGGAGGCAGAAAGAGAGGGAGAGAAACATTTTTTTGGAGAAAAGAAACATCAATTGGTTGCCTCTCCCACGCCCCCTACTGCAGACCTGGCCTGCCGCCCAGGCATGTGCCCTGACCGGGAATGTAACCGGCGACCTTCCTGTTTGCTGGAGGATGCCCACCTGTCAGAGCCACACCAGTCAGGGCTGAACTTTCTTTTTCATCTGTGAAGTATCCCTGCCTTCCCTTTTTAACTTTTTACTGGGTACCCTCAAACTAACTTGTATATTGTGTGAACATCCTGCTTTAACTTTAAGTACAGAGAAAAGTAGATGTATACAAAACTAGAGAGAAAGAAATGATCCTTTCTGTACCTTTGTATTAAGTTTATTGCACTTATTTGTGAGCTATTTGGCAAGAACAACCCTAGACCAAGGTCTGCATCCCTGCTGCTTACATATGTCAGTGTGATGCCAGGAAACTTCCCCTTCGTCACTGCCATTGTTCCAGTTTTGGAAAGCCTTTGCCTCCTCCAGCTGTCGCATTGTTTCAGCCTTTATTACCCCTTAAGCTTCTTCCCTGATGTGGGTAAAGAGAACTGTTTATTCTAGGCTCCACTCTATCTCCTCTACAATATGATTTAAATATATATTGTTAAATCTTTAGTAAGTTAACAGTTTATAGCTGACTTTAAAATTCTCTTCTGAACTATTTCAAAGGTATAAAATTTTCCATGGCGTATAATGAAACATCTGTGTATATAGTATTTTAAATTGTCACAGAAACAAATTTAGGATTTTCCCCAAGTTGGTGATCATCATTATATTTATCACAGTTACAACTGTTCATCATTGTGTCTTAAATTATATATAGAAGGCCCTTGCTGGTGTGGTTCAGTAGACTGAGTGCTGGCCTGCAAACTGAAAGGTCACCGGTTAGATTCCCAGTCAGGGCACATGCCTGGGTTTTGGGCCAGGCCCCCAGTAGGAGACATGTGAGAGGCAACCAAACAATGTATCTCTCACACATTGATGCTTTTCTCTCTCTCTTTCTCCCTCCCTTCCCCTCTCTCTAAAGTAAATAAATAAAACCTTAAAAGAAATTATATATAAAAGGAAGAGGCAGTATAGCTTTACAATCTTTTGAAGACCTTTAAGTGATCTTCCCCCAAAGCCATGTTTTTAATGCTTTATTCTTTCATCTAATTCTTAAGTCCGGGGGTGATAAAAACCTGGCATTTACCCGAAAAGAAACACATAGATCAATTTTTTATTAACCTTTAAAGCAGTTGGCTATTTTCAGTGATTATATTCCATTTACCTGAAAAAAGCCTTTGTCTCCCTTTTGAGTAAAATTTCGGTTCTTATTCAGTGAAATATGGAAGCAATGTGTTTCATGTTTTGATTGGCATTTGCTTTGAACCAACTTTTATAGGATTTTATAATTTTTAACCCATTTTCTCGCAGTAAGTTCTGAGAAAGCATGCATTTTGTCATATCAGAATGTCACATGACTCTGGACTGTATGTTCTCAAAGTTGAAACAGTGGTGGCAGGAACATGTTTCATCATTTTAATCCATCTTTCTTAAGGAGGCTGTTTATTGCGGTAGATACACACATGTAGAATATAAATTAGGACACTTTGAGGACTTTAGGATTCAATCTGAATAAATAAATACTAAGTCTGTCATTTAACTATGATTATACTACAATTAGAAAAATATTTTTTAATGAATACTTAGGAATATATTATTATCCCAAGAAAACTAAGGCAGACAAAAATTACCATTCCCCATAGAAACCAATTTTAAGTGGAGCTTTGCTGTTTTGTATGTTATTTTTTGCTTTTAAATGAAAATACAATGAGCAAACATTTCCCTTCTAGTACTTGTCCTGGTAATAGGAGTTACACTTAAAGACATTAGGTGAGGATAGAGGCTATAGGAAAATCTAACTGGATGGAAATGTTCCGTTTCTTAAAATTTCTGCAGTGGCGTGCTAGAGCAAGCTCTCACTGATTTGCTAGAGCTGATTGTTAAATTTTCAGGATTTTTGTGAGCTGGTTTTTAAATTGGTATTAAAAATTTAAAAATATATTTAACAAATTACTTAAAAACATTAATAAGTATTCAAAATTTATCATTTATACTTTTTAAGTCCATGCTCTTGCAGTTATTTACATCTATTTTATCTGCATGCTGTGCTACTTACGCTATGTGTCTTCCAAATTCTGCATTCACTGAAGTCATATTGGTAGCTTCAAGTTAGCCACAGTGAAAGTATTTACATCGTGGGAATTGATGTGCTACATACAATCTCAGGTTGCTCCCAGAGAGCTGGCTGTTAACCTTTATCAGCACACCACTGATTTTAGGCTCAACAAACTCTCAGTTGAAAAGCCCCTCTACTTTTAGCCTTTGATAACAACCTACCTAAAATGCGTTGGGGCATTTTTCTACCTTAAATGTGTAGAGCATGCTAAATATCATTGTTCCTAGTGCTGAAGAAGATCTTTCATACCTACAATTTCTGTAACGCTCAGAATAATCATCTTAAACAATAGCCACATCACCCCATAAGACATGAAAACAGAAAATGCTATTTCCAGGTCAATTTTATATAGAATATCCAGTTGTAAACTGTTTATAGAAATATGTAACATTTCATTGCAGCTGCCACTGGTGACATGCCAACTTACCAGATCCGAGCTCCTGCAACTGCTCTGCCTCAGGGGGTAGTGATGGCTGCCTCCCCAGGAAGTTTGCACAGCCCCCAGCAACTTGCAGAAGAAGCCACACGCAAACGAGAGCTGAGGTTGATGAAAAACAGGTAAGATGTTCACCAGAAATCAGCAACCACTTAGAGGACATATAACTGTGGGGCTTTTTCAAAAATTACTTTTCCTAAGCTATTTCCCCCAAGTTCAATGTTAAGTGGCATTTTATGTGGGTTTGTGCTCTGCATGTGATGATAGACTGTCTGCTAGTCATGAAACTATTTCCCTATGTGTGAGAAAGGTAATGTCTCTAAGATACATTAATTTTTTTTAATGATGATGGGGGACTTTATTATAAGTAAAATTTTGTTTTGTACTTGGCATTTACTTTGTGAAATTAGGTGATAAGTATAATTTCCTAGTTCTTTATGAGCAACAAATTTAAGTGTGAGTTAAGTATTTTATAAGTTTTTTACATGTTGTTTCCTTTTACTTATTTTATAACTGTTTTTTTTCTGATAGTACTGAAATACGTCTTTATTCTGATAAATTCTAGTCATGTGAAAATACAAAACAACAGAATTAAAATTACCCATAACCCCACCACCTAGAGATACCTACTAATATTATAGTATATATGTTTCCAGACTGCTCTCTCTCATTTTCTCACTTATTCTTGCACTGTCTCTCTGTAACTTTATTTTTTAAAGGGCAGTATATCATACAAATGCTGTTTTCCAGAGTTCTTTTTTAAATCTAGTGTGCACCCTGGCTGTGTGTCTCAGCTGGTTGGAGTGTCATCCCATGTGCCAAAAGGTTGTGGGTTCAATCCTTGGTCAGGGCACATCATATTAGAGGCAACCAATCAATGTTTCTCTCTCATATCAATATTCTCTGTCTCTCTCCACCACCCTCCTCCCTCCTTCTTCAGTCTCTAAAATCAATAAACACTCCCTCTGGTGAAGATTTAAAATAAATAAATAAATCTAATTTGCATATCATTTTTTGGTTTTCTTTTTTATTAGGAAGAATGGTGCAAATTAATCTGATTTTTCAAAATGAACAGAATAAGAACAGCCTTTTCCCAGGAGTCTTGTCACCTCATTCCTAAGTTTTAATAATGTCCTTGTAAGAAAACAAAACATTTCAGATGGAATCATGTGTTTGCCTATGATCAAGACTACATGGTAGTAGTTAATTTACTAGGTGTTAACAACCAAGTTAATGCAGAAATTGTGGCTTGTAAGACTCTCAAATAGAAGAGAAGAAGGTGGTGATGTAGGTGGGAGCTGAGCTCGTGCACCCAATGGGGACCCTTAGCCTATCTTCCGAAAAACAAAGTGAACAGCCAACAGAATCTCAGCTGATATGAAGTTTGGAAGTGTGCAGAGGGTGCTTCAAAATGGGCAGTAAGAAAATCCTATAGGCTGACGGAAAGGTCCCCAGGCCTAGTGCTGGAGACTGCAGCTACCATGGGTACATTGGAGGAGAGCGGGGTCTGTGATAGCAGCCTAGTGGCTCCAGGGTGGGGAAATCCTAGACCCACACCAGGAGAGACCTGGTAACATCGCTGGGGGTGAAAAAGGCAGCAAGCGACACACAGCCAGTAGCATACCCAGGCTGGAGCAGCAGTTGCCCACCGGGACATTGCCAGAGAATTTGGGGGATCCTGGTGGCACATGGAGCTGGGAGAGGAAGTGGGCCGCAACTGGCCATGACCCTGATAGACTCTGGGCTGTGTGGAAAGCCAGGCAGTTGTTCGGAGTGGCATGGCACCCAGGAGACTTTTTGCAAAAGAAGAACTTAGGCACATCGTGTGGGGACTTTGTGTGCACAGTGGCCTGGCCAAAAAAGAGGGAGGAGTGTGGGCACAATTTGCTCACACTCAGTGCACCTCATGGACTGACCAAAGGGGTGCAAGGCGAGGTGGCTTATTGCGCTACCTGGGCACAAATGCTCAGAGCGGAGAGTGCAGGCCACACAGTGCTCAGAGGGCTGCGCTGGAAACTGGGCACCTCTGATTATTAGCCCAGACTGAGCCCCTCATCCTGGCAGAACCACAAGGAAGGGAAAAACAGAGCCCAGCTCCCCTCTACCAGCATGAAACGGGAAGTTCTGCAAAACCGGCTGGATAGACATTTTTTTTTCTTCCCAAGAGCAAGACAGTAAGAACTGGAGCTGAGAGAAAACCCGAGACAAAACAGAAAGAAGTCAGAAGGCAAACACTAACAGCTGAGACAGATTTCACTTTGCTTTTCATCAGAACTTTCATCTTTTAAAATTTCTCTCTTCTTTCCAGTTATTCAGTTTGTGTTCATTTTTATTGTTTTTTATTCTCTCTTTCATATTACAATTTAATTTTTCTTCTTTCTCTTCACTCACATTCTAAATATAACACAATACTCTTGGTCTTTTACTTTTTATTCTTTTTAATCAGATTATACATTTCTTTTTTTTATATCTATTTTATTGATTACGCTATTACAGTTGTTCCATTATTGTCCTGCCCTTTATTCCCCTCCATCCTGCAGCGCACTTCCTCACAGCATTCCACCCCCTCCCCCGCCTTAGTTCACACCCATGGGTCACACATATAAGTTCTTTGGCTTCTCCATTTCCTATACTATTCTTAACCTCCCCCTGTCTATTTTGTACCTACTATTTATGCTGCTTATTCCCAGTACCTTTTCTCCCATTCTTCTCCCTCCCCTGCCCCTCTGTTTTACTGTTCATAGTTTTTGATCTTCTTTTTCTTAGATAAGTCCCTTTAACATTTCATATAATAAGAGCTTAGTGATGATGAACTCCTTTAACTTGACCTGATCTGGAAAGCACTTTATCTGCTTTTCCATTCTAAGTGAGAGCTTTGCTGGATAGAGTAATCTTGGGTATAGGTCCTTGTCTTTCATTACTTTGAAAACTTCTTACCAGCCCCCTCTTGTCTGAAAGGTTTGTTTTGAGAAATCAGCTGGTAGTATGATGGGAACTCCCTCATAGGTAACTGTCTCCTATTCTCTTGCTGCTTTTAAGATTCTCTCCTTCTCTTTAATCTTGGGTAATGTAATTATGATGTGCCTTGGTTGGTATGTGCTTCCTTGGGTCCAACTTCATTGGAACTCTCTGAGCTTCGTGAATCTCCTGGAAGTCTATTTCCTTGCCCAGATTGGGGAAGTTCTCCTTCATTATGTTTTCAAATAAGTTTTCACTTTCTTGCTCTTCCTCTTCTGTTTCTGGCACCCCTGTGATTCTGATGTTCGATCATTTAAAGTTGTCCCAGAGGTTCCTAAGCCTCTCCTGAATTTTTTGAATTCTTGTTTCTTCCTTCTGTTCTGGTTGAATGTATATCTCTTCCTTCTGCTCCAAATCATTGATTTGAGTCCAGGTTTCCTTCTGTTTATTGTTGGTTCCGTATAAATTTTTCTTTACTTCGCTTTGCATAGGCTTCACCTTTTCTTCCATTTTGCAACCATACTCAACCAATTCACTAGGTATCCAGATTACCAGTGTTTTTTATTATTATTTACTTTTATTTTTATTGTTCAAGTACATTTGTCTCCATTTTCCCACCACCACTTTCCCCTGCCCAACCCACCTCCAATTCCCTCATTCAATCCTTCCCTGCTTTGGCTTTGTCCATGAGTCTTTATACACATTCCTTGATTTGACCCTTCCCCTTCCTTTCCCCATTACCTCATGCCACTGCCGGGTTCTTTTTTCTTTCAATGTTGCTGATTATATTTTCCTTGCTTGTCCATTTTGTTGATTAGGTTCACTTATAGGTGAGATCATATGGTATTTGTCTTTAACCCACCTGGCTTATTTCACTTAGCATAATGCTCTCCAGTTCCATCCACGCTTGTCGCGAAGGGTAGTAGTTCTTTTTTTCTTTTCTGCTGTGTAGTATTCCATTGAGTAAATGTAACACAGTTTTTTGATCCACTCATTTACTGATGGGCACTTAGGCTGTTTCCACCACGTGGTTATTGTTAATTGTGCTGCTATGAACATTGCGGTGCATAGGTTCTTTTGGTGTTTTGGGATTCTTTGGGTATAATCCCAGCAGTGGAATCGCTGAGTCAAAAGGCAGTTCCATTTTTAGCTTTTGGAGGAAATTCCAACCTGCTTTCCACAGTGGTTGTACCAGTCTGCATTCCCACCAACGGTGTACTAGGGTTCCCTTTCCTCCACAGCCTCACCAGCACCCGTTGTTGATTTATTTATGACCGCCTTTCTCACCAGTGTCAAATGCTATCTCATCGTAGTTTTAATTTGCATCTCTCTGATGGCTAGTGATGCTGAGCATCCTTTCATATGTCTCTGGGTCCTGTGTATGTCCTCCATGGAGAAGTATCTGTTCAGGTCCTTTGCCCATTTTTCAAGTGGCATATTTGTCTTCTTGGAGTGGAATCGTGTGAGTTCTTCTTATATTTTGGAGATCAGACCCCGTGTCAGAGGTATCATTGGCAAATATATTTTCCCATGCAGTTGGTTCCCTTTTCATTTTGCTGATGTTTTCTTTAGCCATGCAGAAGCTTCTTATTTTGATGAAGTCCCATTTGTTTATTCTTTCCTTTATGTCCCTTGTTTTAGGGGACATATTGATGAAAATATTGCTGTGTGGGATACCTGAGATTTTCCTGCCTATATTCTCCTCTAGGACTTTTATGGTATCACAACTTATATTTAAATCTTTTACCCATCCTGAGTTTATTTTTGTGTATGGTGTAAGTTGGTGGTCGAGTTTCAATTTGCACATGTAGCTGTCCCAACACCCAACACCATTTGTGGAAGAGCGTATGTTTACTCCAGTTTATGCTCCTGCCCTCTTTGTCAGATATTAATTGACCATAGAGACATGGGTTTATTACTGGGCTCTCTATTCTGTTCCATTGATCTATGTGTCTGTTCTTATGCCGGTACCAGGCTGTTTGGATTACAGTGTCCTTGTAATACAGTTTGATGTCTCCCTATGGTTTTGAGCTCCCTTGTATGTTACTTCCTGTTTCTTTCTTGTTGCATTTAAGATTCTCTCTGTGTTTAAAATTTGGCATTTTAATTATGATGTGTCTCGGAGTGGGCCTCTTTGGGTTCATCTTGATTGGGACCCTTTGTG